AGTCTCGCAAGGGACTAGATCATACGAATGTATGATCGAGAGCTATTAGGAGCTCCACTTCGGTGAATAACACGACGGCAAGAAGGGCTATGGATTCAAGGAGTGAAGGTCATGATATCGCAAAGGTAGGTCTTCCATGCATGCATTGAATTTTGCATCGGATAAAAGCCTTGGTCATTAGTATATGGTGGTTGTGTACCACCGAGAGAAAAGTTTGAATGCAAATACCAGTGAGTCCTATAAGAGGAACTTGATCATGCAAAGGTATAATCGTAGCGGCTGGAGAGTTGGATTGCTCTAGAGCTCATATTCGCTTAAGCGAGCCCGGCAAGTCAGAAGACAAGGCCGAGAAAGCGAATATTGCTACTAAGGAAGCTAGGGAGAATAGAATCGGTATAAACCCTGTAACATGATGGTAGAGGCAATGTATGGGAGTTACAGTATGTCTTTCCATCGACCAAGAGGAACTACTTGGAGAATACAAAGTGTTGAAGCAGGGGGTCGAAAGGGGCGAGGAAGCGACGACGAGTCCAAAGGAACTTAGCTACCCAAAACCAAGCATCGGTTAGAATGGAGGTGGACTCGGAGGAGTGTCACAGAGGTAGATCTACTGATCGCGAAGAAAGGGACACAGATGCGAGGCGACGAATAGTAGGGCTATGGGCATGGCAACGCCATGGTACCGTAGAGGCGAGACTTCCGTGAAGTCAACGATCTTTTGTTCTCATGGAGGGAGAATGCTTGGTTGTGAAAGGGGCCGAGGAGGTGGAGAATACAAAGGCAAACTCCAACTACCAAGACAAGGCTGAAGGGCAGAGGCCAGGGAACTTTGTAAGACCAGTGTCAATAAGCTTCTCATCAAGATAGCCGAAAGTGAAAGTCTTCAGGTTGATGCAAGAGTGCATGACCAAGAAACGAAGTAGACAGTATGTGGTGTTGTACCTTTGCTACTCAGTGGAGTAGGCGACAAAGATGATGGAGAAGACATTACAATACCAGAGGCGACCAAAACTACTACAGACTTACTCCAAGTTGGGGTGAAAACTGCTAGTCATAGGTGCCCAGCAAGCCAATCACGTGAGTGATGGCACGTGTGACTTCGGAATCTTTTTGCTTATTATATTGATTATTGCATATATGCATGTATATATTGTGATGTTCTTGGATCCGTGCAATGGGAATTAGATCGGATGAAATCACAATAATGAGACCGATTCACCTTTAAACATAGATCCTAAATAATCCCGGTCATAGGTTACTCGAGAGGGACATCATGATAACTGGACAGACTGATGTATTGTATAACCATCCATATGATGGATGCAGCTGATCTCATAACTGCTCGTGTGGGGACACTAGGGATACAGTACAGGTGCTCATTGGAGAATGAGTTCACTGATTGATCCGCTTTTGGAATGCTGGATGGTTGATAATGCCTTATTGTCAGACAGCGATTCCATAGTCCTAATGGTGTATTTGGTCCTTAGACTTGAGACACCAAGGATATCCTGTATGAGTGCTCCACTCTTTGATACCGGACTTATAGATTTGGATGTCCCAGATTTAGTACAACTAGTCATTGGGAGTGGCAGTCGACCTTGCGAAGGCTATTGAGGGTCGATAGAGGATCATCCACTCTCGGCGTCATGAGAGGATTATCCCATGTGTTCTTGCTCAGACATATCCCTGGCTAGGGTCATTCGGGTTGAGAGAGAAAGAGTTCTCTGGGAGAATCCGATTAGAGCGAGACTCGAGTAGAAACCGTATGGGTTTGACAGCACCATGCTCGATATACGGTCTCTGGGATATTAGATGGATGAGGGATTATAGGTACACAGTAACTGAGGACAGATAGGTCCAATGGATTGGATTCCCCTATATCGTTTGGGGACTACGGCGTAGTGGCCTAGTACGTCCGTAGTCGATGAGTCGAGCGAATTATTACAGAGATAATAATTCACTAAGTTAGAAGGAGTTCTGATAGGTATGACTCATGGCCAACTCGATATTGGGCCTAGAGGGTCACACACATATGGTAGGCATTGTGATAAGTAGAGGTTCGGATATGAGATATCCGCCAGAGCCCCTATCTTATTGGATATCCAATAAGCCATTGAATTATTGGATCCCATGGACGAGATCCAATAAGAGCCCATGAAGATTATTGGATAGAGATCTACTAATCTAAAAGGCTTGGGTAATTGGATGCAGATCCAATACCCACTAGGGGAGGATCCATTACGTTTTGACAGGGGGCCTCTATAAATAGGAGGGATTCAGAGCCTCATAGGCTAGAGCCTTTGCTTGCCTCTCCTATTCTCCTCCCCCTCTCCACCTTAGAGCAGGCATGGAGTTTTGAGGAGCGTCGTCGCAGCCTTGCTGTGTGTATCACCGCTAGAGAGGAGGATGCTTGACCTCCTTCACCCTCTCCTAGAGATCTGCAAGGAAACAGGGATATATGATCTCCCTAGGTAACACACTCTATTCTATACGTAGTTTGTTTCGCGGATTTTTGCGCACCAATCTTCGCACGACGATGAACATCTTTTTGGGAAATTGGGGATTTTGTTTTCTTGTTCTTCCGCTACGCATGTGATGTCGCCCCCAAGATTTCCCATCAAAAACTTCTTGCATTCCAAAAGTTCGATGACAATGGAAAGGTGAATCACAGTAGCTAACTTAACGCAAGGAGTACAAACACTTCGAGTGCTTTAGAAGTGTAGTAAAGAGCGGGCGAAGGTTAGTAACCAACTCGATGTATGGAGTACAACCCTCAAAGAGGCAGGCGAAGTCAAGTAACCTTTGTCTTCTCAACTCTTAAGAGAATAGGCGAAACCGAGTATCCCAATTCTCTTATATATCCAGCAATGGAGTTATATACAAGTTCAAAGACCCTTCGAAGAAATCGAATGGAAGACAATAGTTGTCAAATCCTCACCAATGGTGATCAATGCTACTAAGAGTAGATTATCCGCTTCATTTCCCAACAGAATGTCAATCGAAAGCGGAAGTGATGCGAACCTACTTGAAAGTGATAACTAAGTGAAAGAATAATCGATGAGCAAATTTTGTAGAGGAATGACCCAAAAACTTCAAAATTTTACAAGGTGATGCTCGTTAAAGCTCCAACATGCATCCACCCAATTCAAGGAGCATGAGGCATTTGAGAGACTAGTGCATACTAAGGATAGTCTTTTCCTTTATCTGAAAGATCCACAAGAACCAACAATGATCAACACAACTCAACTAACCCCATACTAGAGTTAGAGTTATTAGTAAGTTGAAGCAGCATGGTGGATCAAAAGTTTGACTACTCAACAACAGCGATGGAGAGCAGTTGGGAGCCAAGAGGCGCATTACAGTTGGAGCAAAAGATTGAAGACTCAGCAAAGACGAGGAGTTACAGCATCAGCAAAGGATTCGACGAGGATGTCAAAGGAATAAGTGGGGGAGAATGTCACGGATAAAATTATAAACGGGGTGTTCGATGTAATGCTTATGTATATCCGTGTTTTTTGGTTTATCCATGCTTTGTACAGCATGTAGAGGGACGGTCAAAGGCTTAACAACCCCATTTTAGTTGGGTTTGATGATCATTTTGGGCTTGTAAATAAAGGTTACGTCATATGGATACTTATGGGAGATTTCGATCTGTAGTTGACCATTTTGGACCATTTGTTGTGCAACCGTTCAAAGCTTATAAAGTCTATTTGTAATTTGCATTGGCTATAAAGTAAAATGATTGCTTGTGGATCCCGAGTGTGACGTTTTCTCTAACCTGTTTTTTCTTTTGTAGGTCCTAAGTGACCATAGGAGGTTTCGGGGAGGCTGATCTTTGCGGACGAATACGTAAGGGTGCCGCACGACTTAGGCAAAACCAGCTAAGTACGTGACAGTTAACCTGTCCCTTAACTTAACCCATTTCGGGCGCCATAGCTGTTTGAAGTTTATGTACCTAAACTAGCCTAAATAAAATTATCAACCCACTATATCTACTCCTTGTCAATCTATTCCATATTGTCACGTCCTTTGCTTCCGGTTTCTAATCTCTTCACCATTTAAAAGTAAATGTCATATACATAATCCATTTTAAGCACCTGAAATTTCTAATCCTATAGGCAAGGTCTTCTTTGTTGACAGAAATATTATCAATTCAATGCCTCTTAGGCAGCTGCAGGTCTAAAGTAATGTTCTCGAGCAACTGCTGAATTTTCATAAGGACATTCTCCTAAATCATTTACTGAACCTTGGAGCTATGATGTAAAGAACATAGATTTATGTGTATATTGCAATTAGATTGAGCACAAGTGATTTTAATCACTAAATGATCATAGTTCATGGATATATGACGAGATTCTTAAAAAAATCCGGTATGCATTTCGCAAGGCCAGGGCAGATGTAAGAAAACGAGTAAAGGGACGGTTTGTTAAGGCTGGGGAAGCTTATGATTATGATCCACTCTCCTAGACAAGACGTTTTTGAGAGCATTGCATCTTCACATCTTCTAGTATGAGATTAGCATAAATACTTTTTGTGAGCCAGGAGTATATGTTTGTTTCCTTCCTGTCAAAAGTGCATGTCCATCCACTGACAATTAGAAAAGGAAAAGAAAGATGACAATTGGTTAATGGTTGAGAAATTCCTGATTGGAATTTGAATTAGAAGCATTCCTTCAGGGCTAAAGATTGAAGGCAGTTTCTCAAAAGCAGTTTAGTATTGTGCACTACCAGATGGTGAGTCGATCGATTCTTCCACAAGCGGGCATGCTTTGTTCAGATGTCTGTGGGTGAAACAAGCTGTCTTATCGTGCTTGTCCATGCCACATTGTCGATCATAAACGACTCTATCGATATTTTTATCTGAATGACCCACTTCCTACGCGACAGAACATGTCGATATTAATCGTCGGAAGTAAGTCTTCTTCCGCACTCGCTGACAGAGGTTGACTGACTCGATGCTCGCTGGCAGATGTTGACTGACCAGTTCCGAAGTCGTCCGCCACCAACCTTGATCGTTGGCTCCCTCGCACCTCTTTTAGGTGGCTGCGCATTTGCTGAGAGGAACAAGGAAGTGGAAGCGAGCTTGAGGATGACGACGGTGTGGCAGATGCTGCTGCTGCTTCAACTTCTATGGCAAGCTTCAGCATCTACCGCTCGCATAGCGCGGGAAGGATGCCGAGAGCGGTGCGGAGACGTTGAAGTGCCCTACCCTTTCGGCATGGGCGACGGCTGCTTCCTAGAAGGATTCGATGTCACTTGCAACTCCTCATTCAAGCCTCCCAAACTATTTCCCGGCAACGGCAACGTCGAGGCACTGAGCATAAGCGTTGACGGCCTCATGCAGATCAACCATTTCATCGCTCATGACTGTTACGACCGGAACGGCGTGAGGACCCGGAGAAATCAACCATCGATTGACCTGAGCCAGAGGCCATACAAGTTCTCGGATGCCAGGAACAAGTTCGTCGGCATCGGGTGTGACACTGAAGCCTACGTTGTCGATGTTGACAAAAAATTCTCGACTGGATGTGCCTCCTTGTGCAATAACATGAGCTACGTGATCAACGGGACCTGCTCCGGCATCGGCTGCTGCGAGACGAGCGTGCCCAAGGGGCTCAGGGCCTTTGATATATGGCTACGGAGTTACTACAACCATAGCGGTTGTTGGAGCTTCAGTCCCTGCAGCTACGCCTTTTTGGCAGACCATTCGTTCAAGTTCAATGCGTCCACGTTCTTCAGCTATGACAAAGTCGAGACACTGCCGGTGACGCTGGAATGGGCCATCGGAAACAAGACATGCGAAGAAGCTCGAACCGACAAGGATTTTGCTTGTGTCGCCGAGCAAAGCGAGTGCGACGACTCCACCAATGGCCAGGGGTACCGCTGCAATTGCTCTCGAGGCTACGAAGGGAATCCCTACCTCGAAGATGGATGCAAAGGTACACCCTCAAGTTTATTTAGGAGCGACTTCTCTCATTAATTTCCTTTTTCGTGGGATGAACACGAGCTACTAAATTTTCACCCTCTAAGAAACAAGGAAAAACATTATTTCACCTGATCATCTTTTGAAGATGACCATAGATTAAAAGAAAAAAAAGGCAACAGTCCTTTGTAATCAGAGCCCTTTGTTTCTTCCTGGTTATCTGATTCTAAAGTTTGACGCAGTCTAAACTCTACCAACCCAACTACTTGTGCAAGCCTATCCTCCAAATCCAATTACAGTTCTACAAATAGAATTGAGACCAATTCAATCATTACTAAGTCAGTTTGACCACTGTTGGATTTAAGCAGTATTAAGTTCAAATGATTGCTATGCACCTTTCTGTCATCAGGCTACTCTGCATAGAAATGTTTTTCTCTCATGTTGTTCTTTACGAATTACTGAACTCCGATCCTTGTTTCATCTGTTCTGCCATTATTCATGTAAACATGTCATCGTTCTTTTGATCTCGACAGACGTTAATGAATGCGAGGATGAAGCTACGAATCAGTGCCTTCATCAGTGCCAAAATACTCAAGGAAGTTATTCCTGTATTTGCCAGAAGGGAATGAAGGGGGATGGTCGAAAAGATGGAACCGGATGCAGCTCTAAATTGCCTTATCTTCAGATGGGCTTAGGTACTTCCTAACTGGGCAAATTAGCTTGGTTGCCTGTTCAATTCCTGTTACAGCAGTAGGTCAAGTTTTTCCTCGAAATTGCTTTCACTGGAGTGCTATTATTAGCTCTTTTTGCTAAGATAGAAGAGCTTATGTTGAGAATTTTTTGCTCATGCAAAGTGTTGAACATCAAAATATGGCACCTCTTCGATCATGGCTATACATACATGAGTCGCCTCACTAATTGGGTGCTAATCCAACCATGTTTCAGGTCTGGGCTTCTGCATCCTCTTCCTAGTTGCTAGCATTTCATGGCTATATTGGATTACAAGGAAAAGGAGGCTGCTCAAGCTCAGGGAGAAGTTCTTCGAACAGAATGGTGGCCTTCTGCTCCGACAACAAATCACTCCACTGGGAGGAGCAGCGAACGCATTAAGAATATTCACATCAGAGGAGCTTCAAAGGGCAACCGATAACTACGATGAGAGTCGTATAATCGGCAAGGGGGGTTTCGGCACGGTGTATAAAGGAGTCCTGTTGGATCACAGGGTAGTGGCCATCAAGCGATCCAAGATCTCCGACGAAGGTCAAATCGAGCAGTTCATCAATGAAGTCGTCGTTCTTTCCAACATAATCCACAGGAACGTGGTGACGCTCTTGGGCTGCTGCCTCGAGACGGAAGTGCCATTGCTGGTCTACGAGTTCATGTCAAACGGAACCCTGTCGCAGCACCTCCATGACGAAGGTCACACAGCATCGTTGTCGCTGGATAGCCGGCTAAGGATCGCCGCAGAATCCGCTGAAGCATTGGCCTACCTTCACTCATCGGCTGTCACACCGATCATTCACAGAGACGTCAAGTCTTCCAACATACTCCTGGACGAGAATTACACCGCTAAAGTATCAGATTTCGGCACTTCCAGGTTGGTGCCGTTCGATCGAAGCTGCCTTATCTCGTTGGTGAGGGGAACGTTTGGGTACTTGGACCCCGAATACTTCCACACCGGGCAGTTCACAGACAAGAGCGACGTTTACAGCTTCGGAGTTGTTCTTGTAGAGTTGTTGACGGGAGAGAGAGCCATCACGGGGAGAAGGTCGGCGCAGGGGAATGGCAATCTCGCGAGCTACTTTGTTGTCTGCATGAATGAGAATAGGCTCATGGAGATTCTGGAGAATCGTGTGGTGCAGGAGGGAAGCATGGAGAAGCTGGTGGCGGTAGCTGAGCTTGCCAAGAGATGCCTGCTGCTGAGGGGGGAGGAGAGGCCAACCATGAAGGAGGTGGCCATGGTGCTCGATGGCATCAGAACGTTCCAAAAGCACCCATGGGTGAAGCAGAGCAACGAGACCTATGAACCTTTGTTGGGTCAGCCTTTGCTGGCTCATCCAACACTACTCTGCAGCGCCAGTGGCACACTCAGCGAATGCGATTCTTCCTACAGTGCCATGGTGCCATTAAACATCATGAGATGATGATATCAGTTGAGATGCTCCGTATCTGAATCGACGAACACGTTAAACAAGTAGTGTACAGACACTACGTGTAATTATATAGTAGCACTGTCATCATTTGTGAGTTGTTTATGAAACTCTAAATCTGCTTTCTACCGAAAGGCTGAGATATTGCTGCCGATCAAGAGCATCCTATCAATTATATATCATGTCCTTTTTGTCCAATGAACATGTGATTGGTTTCTTCTCCTTATTCCCTAATGGAACATGTGTTGCTGGTATATGAGGAATTAGGGTCTCTCTCTCTCTCTCTCTCTCTCTCTCTCTCTCTCTATATATATATATATATATATATATATGCAAAAGACGAAGGCGGGATTCGATGGACTTTAATAGTAAAGGATAAAAATCTTTACAATAAGACTACTTATTGTAGTTAATATCCGAGAGTTAAACCTAATTATGATTTGGCTTGAATAAGACCCAAATCAAAATTAATCTAATCAAAATCAAAATCACAATTGTTTTGATTTTAATTTTCACATAATATGTAACCATGGTAAGGTCTAATTCAAGACCATAAGTTTTGGAACCGTGGTAATTACTTATTAATTTAATGATATTAAAATTTAAATTAATATAAATTTATTCAAAAATTATAAGAAAACATGAAAGATTAAATAACTTATGAAAATATTAAAGAATATCTAAAATTAAATAAAAAAATTAAATAAAAAAATTATGATTAGTAATATTTTAATTTGAGTTGAATGAATTATTACGCTACTCGAAAGCTTTGAAACGATAAATATGTAAAACCGAATTCAATAGACGAAACAATATTATCGGGAGATGGATAATGACTGACATGGCCACGTGGCGCCGCTGCTGCCACGTGGGTACGCCACAAAACGACGTAGGAGAAAGCATCGTTCTACCATCATGCGAATGTTCTGCTCCCTGAGGCAGGACAAAACTGGGGAGGCGGCAGCACGTGACACGCCCCCACCTGCGAGGTGGCATATCCATGTGACGATCACGTGTCGGCGGGCTCCCGAAAAGTTTCATCCGTTTGCAGGTGCAATGCATCTCATCCCCATTCACATGCAGTCGTCTAATGCGAGGCTCACAGGTGACTTGTAAGAATTGTGCCACCCGCACACCATGTATTTATTCCTTTTCATGCGACTTCCTTGAATGAGACCAAATATACAAGTAAACTGTGTGCATATATATATATATATATATATATATATAAAAGACAAGTTAGTATATATATATATATATGCGCTGGGAAATCTCTAGTCCTACGAAATGGAATCCAAAGAACACAAATGCTTTCTTAAGTGCACCGATTTGTCTCGTTTGAGTTGTGGACCGACAAGAATATTGGATATCCTACATATTCTACAGCCATCAAGTGGTCCAAATGCCTTTCAAGTGGATGGGTGCGGCAAGTGGATGTGCCAAATGGCTGCTTCTTTTCTTGCAACTTGATCTTGCTGTATGTCATTTTTATTCCTTGTGTGGGTTGGCATTTACACATCAGGAGAAAGAGAGGGCTGCAAGTCAACAATGTGGGGGGGGGGGGGGGGGGGGGAGAAGGTTGGTGTGATGAATGGTTACCCAACCAAGTTGATGTAACTTTGTGATTAACCACTGCTCGACTAAATGTTCACATCTTGAATCGTACGACACTTTTACGACTCCCAAATTGCAGTTCCACCTCGGGGGAAGCATTCGCGTTAATCTTATCGCAAAGATGATCAGGATTGACCGGATGGGTGTGTGTGTGTCCATGACACATAAAATAGCGAGTCAGCATCGTACCAAGTAAGGATTGGAAGATGTGCAATTGCACCTACCGAGAGGTGCTCGTCGAGTTAATTGCATGTCACGTCTCTCCTTTTGTCATCACTCGAAAGGGAATCCCACGCTGAGGATCTCCAACCTCGGAGGAGATTTGTGGTGAATCTTATCAGCTTCTGGCTGCGTCGGTGAAACAAGGACACGTAAAATAAGGTTTCGGTGGGAAGTAAAAGAAGGTGAATTTGACGTGATGGGAGGAGAGACATGTGTCGCTAAACTGACAAGTACAAGTGGGTTTCACCCCCTCTGCGTCCAGCCACGTAGAGAGCATGCAACATGGGGACTATGGTTGATCTCAAGCGTTGGAAGAAAGCATAGCACGGTGGGAATTGATAGGTTGACATGTGTCTTCCAAGTGAAGCCCTTGTGATTCGATGCCAAGGCGTGATGAGCTCAGAAATAAACGACGAAGGAAATTTAGCATTTGTGCCGGAAAATTCACATGCAAAGATGCCTTGCCATGTGTTGTAGCATCTGCATGCATGCATGATTAAAAGCCAGGAATCAATTGTACATGTGAATCCCAATAAAAGATGGATTTTTGGGAGATAGTGAGGATCTCCAAGTTCATATTTTTTTCAATCTTGATCCTACTATAATTGGAGTGCTTAAGGGTGGGTTCATCGATGGAATGACATCGTGATTTGGATGGACAATAAATATTGTCTGTCATGAGAATAAAATTCAGTAAATTGAGAACAAACCCTAAAAAAATATTCATTTTCTATGTGTCAAAGGAATTAAAATTATAGGATTCATTAAGTTGGCGCCGATTGAGTAGAGTAGCGATCTCCATGTGCATCAATAATTCCTTAAAATCGAGGTGGAATTTAATGAATCTGGAAGCTACACTGCCTGTCTGCTCATCTAATTAATTAATTCGTATGTTGGACGGCGGAATTAAAAATCTCATATCATGACCACACTGCATCATTATCTAAATCTTAGTAATTAAATAAGTCCCAAGTATCGTATTATTAATATTATCTATCTGCTGGTAGAAGTGGGAAAAGAAGAAGATGACGAGACCGAGTGAAACGAACCGGAGGTAACTTTAAGTCAGCACCCAGTGGCTAAGCTGCTGTCGAGTTCCAGAAGCAGCAGCAAAAAAATGGGTGGATAAAAAAGAATGGCGGTAAGAGCACCTTCCCCTCGAGAAGCATTGATAAATCCATCGGTGGCTCTCCACGATGCGCCACCAATTTGCGGTGCGTCCCCGAGAGAGAGTCCTGGTGTGGAGAAGGAAGAGAAGTGTAAGTTGTCGAGAATGGGTGCTTCGGATCTCTTCTCTTTTTTGTCTCTTGATCCTTGCAGTTAGCCCGTCGGGTGTTTTGGAGCTCAAAGATTGGATCTTTTTTCGTTTGGAAAGCTTGCTTTGCTTGTGTGCAAAAGTTCGGCCTTTGTTGCGTGTACGGTATTCGTTCGATCTGGTTTCTTTCTGGGTTGATAGCTTCGATCGTTTTTGGTCTTCGTTATCTCTCTACTTTTTCTTGATCCATTCTCGCAACAAAATCTTCCTTCCCCATTAGCTATCAGAGTCGAGCTTTGCTTTTTTCCTTAATTTTCCTTTTACATTTTTGCGGCAGGACCGAAATTTTGAAGGAGTTAAAGCTAAAAATTTGATTTTTCTCACCGGTACTTAGGCCCTTTTTTATTTGCATTTATCGTCACAGGTAGAATCTTTGGTCATCTTAGATTCCTGTTTCCGATCATCGAATCAGATCGCAATTTTGTTTATTTCCTCTTCTTTTATTTATTTAGCATATGAAAATTACATCCAACATTCCGGCATCTTCGGTGCCATTTTGATCTGTATGATTAGCTTTCGGCGCCGATCTCCACCTTTAGTGGTTTAATTTGGTCGAGGTAATGGTAAATAGAACGAAAAATCCCTCTTTTTTCAGCATTTCACGTTAGCACCAAATTTCTATGCATTTTCATCCATCGTTGTTGGCTGATTTCATAGGAAATATGTGGGATTTTGAAGGCCGTGCATTTTTCTTGATCTCTGTTAAAAATCTCATCTTTTGATACAAAATCAAATGCTTCTCATCAAGTAAATCTGAATCTGGGGTTTTTCTTTTTCTTCCCTGCTGATCTCACAGATCGAAGCCAGCGGATCCGAAGCCCGTCTCTTTTTGAGTCAAAAGCTTCCATAGGACGAATCTCGACCGCCTCATCTCCCAACCCGACGTCCATGGGGCTCTCGAGTCTGCCGACGCCATCGGAGAGCGTGCTCACCCTGGTGCTCGTCAACACCGCCTTTACGGTCGCCATCCTGAAGGAGCTACTCCGCTCCACCCTCCACCTCCTCCGCCTCCGCGCGCCGCCGCCACCGCCACCGCCGCAGGCGGAGCCGGCTGGGGGCGGGACCGCTGAGCCCACCCTCACCGATCAATTCCGCAGCCGGTCGAGGCCCGTGCGGTTCGGCTCAGCCCTGGGGCGAAGGCGGGCGCCGGCCGAGCGCCCCGCGGACTGCCGGGTCTGCCTCGCCCGGTTCGAGCCGGAGTCGATGGTGAATCGGCTCCCCTGCGGGCACCTCTTCCACAAGGCCTGCCTGGAAACGTGGCTCGACTACCACCACGCCACGTGTCCATTATGTAGGACGCACGTCCTCCTGGGCGAGGAGCCCAGCCTCTCCTCCTCCGTCTCCACTTTCTCTTGGCCGTGGTTTTAGGTCGTAAGGCTTGGCGGTGAATGCCACAGATGGCGTGGGTGTCGCTAGCTACACTAGGATGATCATGCTGCTGATGATGATTGGTGTGGTGACAACGGAGAGTTCTTTTATCTTTTTTTTTTTTCTTTTTTTTTTCCTTTTCTTCCTTATAAATATTGAAATGGTGCTGTGTGTACAGCCACTGTTTGATGTAAATTTTATTTTCACGACCAAGTACCAACTGAGCTTTTAAATTAGGAGAATGACTAAAAAACATAACAAAATTGATTTTTTTTTATTTTTATTTGGACGATTCTTAGAAAAGTTTTTTTTTAAATATTTTTTTAATGTTCTAAAAATATTTTTTATTTTATTAAATCGAAAATGTTTTTTAATCAATTGTTATAGTGTTTTGGGGGTTGATTTTTAACTTTAAAAAAATATTATAAAATTAGTTCAAAAACATGGTATAGTATTTTTAAAATATTTAATATTATATTTTTTTTTATAAAAAAAATATAAAATACTTTAAATAGTTGACAAGGAAACAAGTTGTGGATTGAGGAAAAAATACATAGTAATTTTTGGAGGATATATTTATGATTTTTAAAATAATAAAAATATAAAAACATTTTCTCGGACAATCATTTTTTCGATTTCTATTTTTTAAAATATCAAATACAGAGAACAATTTCATGGGGTGAGTCCTCATCCTAATGCCAAGTCAAGATAGCTAAGCCAAGTTTGATATGTTCATGTATTTAGTTCATGACGTTTACTACGATCTGAACCTTAGTCTATCACTTATCAAGATCTTTTAAGGGAACATTATTTGAAATTATGTGAGGGGTTCTGATTAATAAGCAGTTCAAAGAATGGTTTACTATGCAAACTGGTCATCGTCTGAAACGAGGGGGCACGAGCAGAACGAACACTGGAACCCTCGACAGGACACAAAACAGTTCATCAGCAGCAGCTCAGGAAAACACTGTTGCCAGCGTTCGTCGGAGGTATCTATCATAAATTAGTGGTTGCACTGTCACATCAGAGACTTTCTTCGGGAAAAGAAAAACAAAAAGCATTTCACAATAATAATATTTTTTTATCATCCTGTACTTTCCTTTATGTATACTTCACAGAATACCGAATACGTCATTTGAAAGAAAGCTAATTGTATTTATATACAAAGAATACAATCAGTAATGTTAGTGAACAAATACGTTATGACTGATGAGTCAGCATGGCCTGGTCCACGGGTCGATGTCGGAAGCTTTCTGCAGGATGATTTGGATGATGACGTACCCGGGCTCTCGGGAAGAGGTGTTGGTCGGTGTTGGTCGGGATCGGGGTTGATCAGCGACTCCTTGTCACCGGGCGGATCGTGCTTCCGTGCCGAGTCCTTCACCCTCGATGAATGGTCGCCCTCCTGCAAAAATGGCCTCCGTCGTGTCACGGACAAACTTCGAAACAGGATATTTGATGTAATGCTTATATATGTCCGTGTCTTTTGGCATGTTCATACCTTGTACAATATGTAGAGGGGTGGTCGAAGGTTTAATAGTCCCATTTTAGTTGGGTTGGTGGCCTCTTTAGGCTTGTAAATAAAGGTTGTGTCATGTGGACACGTGCGAGAGATTTTCGGTCTGTAATGGACCATTTTACCCTTTGTTGTGCCACTGTTCAGAGCTTGTAAAGTCTGTTTGTAATTTGCATTGTCTATGAAGTATTTTTCGGAGATGTTTGCTTGTGGATCCCGATTGAGGCGTTCTCTCTAGCCCGTTCTCTCTTTTGTT